GTGCTCCAAGTCTAGACAGCAACTGGCAATGAAGAACTGGCAAAGTGGGACAGCCACCTTCCAACAATCAATTTATAAAATATGAATGAAGGTCCGTGCCAAGAGAGGAATTCATGGGAATGATAGAAAAACACAAAGAACTGAGCCACTGCTCTCTACTACAAATTGTTCTTAACCCCGTGTAATGAAATTGTTTTCATCACACCAAAACATGACTACGAGACTTCCAATATTTTGGGGAATTTTATGATTTCTTCCCACAACACGTGGCGGTGTTTCCAGCTTTCCTCCCAGCTCAGGAGCGTGCCCCCCTCGCCATGCAGAGACTGGCTTGTGACCTGCTCCAGTTCCCTCTGTGCCTTCTCCTCCCGTGCCCATCCGCGATGCTGCCGCGGGGACCCGGGGGTGACCCCTGGCACGGACACAGAGCGGGCTCTTGTCCCTGCTGGAGCCCGGCGTGGCCTTGGAGGGTCCTGCTCGGGCGTGGGCAGCTGGCATCGCCCCTTGGATGCCGCTCACACTGGCTGCCTCGCTACAGTGTTTCTGCTTTCATTCTGGCCGGGACTGTCCCACACCTTCCTCGCTCTGAGAAAGGGCACAGAGGCAGCGACTTCCAGGAATTGCGGGCTCCGTGCCTCGGGGACACAATCCCAACTCCAGCACCCACTGATGCCCATCCCCTGGTACCTGTGCCCATGGCAGGGATCTTGTCCTGGGGGAAAAACCCATCCCTGCAGAGGGAATCCTGACTCCTGTCCCCTGGGCTACCAAACACACGCTCCTGTTCCAAATCCGTATTTTGACACGCTCAAAAGCAGCACCAGAGCACTTCCCATTGTTAACTGGCTCTCAGTCTGGAATGAAGTTCTCCTAGGAGGAAAACCAATGGTTATGCCAGACTGGCTGCAGGGAGTGGTGCTCATCTGTTCAGTGGATAAACACCTGTGCAATAGGGAATCTGTAAACAGCAGGCAGAATATAAAAGCCGCATAAGCAGGAGAAAAGCTGCCATGAGCAGACCATCAGCAGCCCTGCAGCCTCGGGAAAACACACAAAATACCTGTGTGACTCCAACCCAACACTCTGAAAGCTTTCTGTGGATTGCTTCTTTGCCAAAATTTTCTGATTTGCAGCTGCTGCTTCCAATACCAAGTGCCACATAAAGCCTGTCTTATACTGCAGCCAGCACTTAAGAGGAACCAGGGTGGAATACCCACTGATGATACCAAGCACAAGACTGTGGAAGCAGCTTCCAGAAGGTGTAAGAGATCAAAAGCACAAGACATTTGGAAAATAGGATGGGAAAGTCTAGAGGAGGATGGGGCAAGGTCTGCATTTGAGCAGGGAAGAGGCAAAGAGACGCTGTGTACCCTCGGAGCAGCGAGGGAGGTCCCACAGGGACACCCTACATGTCTGCCCAGCCCCTGGCAGGTGATCCATCTCCTCTTCCCAGTGGTAAGGGAGAGCTGGAGCACAGGAGAGCAGGGAAGAGAGGGAGGGACAGACAGGAGGGAGGGGAAAATGAGGAGACCATTTTATGAGATTTGATAGATGCCCAGGAGTGAGGAAAAGGAGCCACAGTGCCGTGCTCCAGCGCAGCGCCAGCCTGGCTGCTCCCCCAGTCCTGAGGGGCTCTCCTTGCTGAGTACAGCTCCAACATCCCTGCAGCTCCAGCTACCCAGCCCCCGTGGATCGCTCGTTTCACAACCTCAGCTCCAGCCATGACCAACATGCACCCTGCCACAGCCTGCTATCATGCCAGCTCACATCCAGCCAAGCCCTGAGCTCCATTCCAGCTCCAGCTGGATATCACAGCCTTCCTGTGTCTGGGCAAGGAAAGGGCGAGAGGTGATGAGGAAGAAATGTGTTAATCTTTTCTCCATTTATCAGGAACTGACAACAAGCTTTAGCACACCCCCAGCTCCCCTGGCCACCAGAGGCTCCCTGTCCATGTGTCTGTAGGGGCCAAAGGGACCAGCTGCCCACATGATGTTCTGCCATGCTCCTCTTGTCTTCAAAGAAATATTTACATCCTATGGCCAATTGCCAGAGCAGAAAGGTCACACTGACAACAGCAGACGGAGGGTCAGCCCCTTCCCAAGGGCTTTGGAGTTCTGCCAGTGCAGTGCTGGGGGTCCCAGAGCCCTCCTGGGACTGGGATGCCAGAGCAGCTGCTGCTGGGCACAGACTGGGAGTGAGAGCAACCCTGAGAACGACCTCCTGCCTCATTCCATCTCTCGGTGTAACAGCTGCCCTTCACTCCTTCATCTCTTTGCCATTCTTATCTCCTCCCTCCATAGGAAGGAATTACTGCAGGTTTTATCTGTAAGCCTATCACAATTACAGAGCAGAAACGATTACAGAGCCATGGAGCCAGGTGATGAATGAACACGTGGCACTGAACCAAACTGACCACAGCCAGACCAGGGAAGGGAACCAAAGGCAGATGTAACCAGAAAACACCGGGATTCCAACCAGTATCAGCACCAGGTAACAGCAGCAATAGCAAATGCCACTTTAAAATGTCTGATGCGACACAGACGACAGATTTTCCTGAGCCAAAAGCCCCTTAAATCCTTTTCTCCCCTTTAATTCCATTGCTTCAGTAACAGCTCCGTCTCTGATTCCATTTCATTCTAAACCAGAGGCCACCCCCTCCAATCCACCACTGTAATTTGTCTTCTGATGGCAGAACCTTGGATTTATTCTGACAATGCTCCATCTTGCTCCTAAAAAAGATTTTGTCACCTCAAATACTGCTGGTAGTAATGATGTAACAACCAGAGCAAAAAGATAAACAGCTCCAAGTCCACAGAGTAACAAAACATCTGATTAATTTGCTAATTACATTAGTAAATAGTAAGCCTGACTGATGCAGTCAGGGACATTCTACCAAAAGCTTTACGTTAAACCAAAGTGTGTTAATAACCACAGTGTTTCTGAGATGTGCCAGAACCTCTTAACCCTGACATTCCCTCATGTATTAAAAACTGCTCATGCTTTAGTGTTGTATGAAGGGTGTTAAACTCAAAAAACATCAACCCATACATGGTCCCAACTGCAGCAGGGTAGAACTGGGGCTTGGGAGAACTCCATCTGTGAGGATGACATCTGGCAGGCAGCAGGACCATCCAGAGAGGAAAGAAAGCACACCTTGAAACGCTCCTTATTCTCCAAAGCAAGGGGGCCTGTGCGTGCCTCTGCTCCCAGCAGCACCCCGAGGGACAGGGCTCTGAGGTGCCCACTGCCCCTGTACAGCCCCAGAAGTGCCCCTCACTGTCCTCACAGAGCACTGGGGCTGCATCCTCTGAGGCTACGAGGGGAAAGCTTTACGTGCAAGGTCAAGTAGGGCAGGAGATCAGACCTAGAACCAGACAGCACAGGGATGCAGGTGCAAAAGCCAATCATCCTTCCATCAGGGAATTTTACTACAGAGCCTCTCAGCTCCCACAAACCTTTCTCTCCACAGACCCTGCTGCCTGGGATGCTGGTACATGATCCGCCGCTCCAGCAGCAGCAGAGGCTGTTCCTGTGCTGGCACCCACAGATCCAGGAGAAAATGCAAAGCTGCAGGAACGGGCCAGCAGCATGCTGTAAAGCTAATGGAGACTTTGCTAGGATAAAATGTAAACCTGGCAGCGATTAACACATGTGGCTTGAGCCAGACCACAACGAGTGTTCCGCTTTCCTCACGATGTTTGGAAATGACATCTGAGCACAGGGAGACGATGTCCCTCCATTACACCTTTGCAGCAGCAGGGTAGTGCTGTACAAGCCTTGGAGTTCAAAGCACAAGACACTGGTTTGTAAAGGTTGCTGTGCCAGCTCCAGCCCTGCTGATCCCACAGAAGTCTGCTAGGGGAAGCAGGCACAGAGCACACCCAGCAGAGCTGCAGGGAAGGGGAGTATACAGCACTTCCCACAGGAATGAGGGAGATGTCGCTTATCTCCAAGGCAAACCCGGGCAAAATGTACCTGCTGCTGCCTGGTCCAGCGTCCAGGACTGCCTGCAGACCTCCATGGGAGCCCACACCTGCTCTCCTCTCCCGACATTCCCTGTCTGTGCGGGATCCCACTGCACGGCTCCGCAGGCAGAACGGCATGGAACAAACCTGCACCGCCAGCACCCGAATGCTGAACTTCCCCAACTTGATTCCTCCCTGCCCCCTCTGCACTGATTCCAGCAGAGATTTATCCAGACTCCAGAGACACACCCAGAGCTCGCATAGCTCCTGCCACGTACGAAGCTCACAGCTGGATGATGCTCACAGCTGCACTCTTTCTGACCTGTCATTACTTTTATGCTTTTTTCTTTTGCCAAGCCCTTGACATCTCTGTACAATCCCCCAGTAAATCACTGTGTGAATGGAAGTTGCCTCAGTACCCAAATGAAGCTCTGGGCATTTAAAACAGAAACAAGCCCAGAGGCAGTGCACTTGCCTAGTGCTAATTTAGAGGTAAAATCTAATTGTTCATTTCAGCCTTTGCTCCCAGCATCCCAAGCATCACAGGGTGAGTGTGGGGATGCAGGACTCCCACGATGCAAACCCCAGCTGAGGCCTCACATACTCCTGGATGGGGCTGCCTCTGAGCCAGCAGAAAATCCCTTGGGCAGCCCTTTCTCCCCCCACCATTTCCATCAGCTCGGCCACATTCTGCTGTGCTGACAGGTGAGAATGCAGGTGCCCACTGCTTTAAATGCTGTACAGGTATTTTACAGAAATGGCTCATGTCCTTTTTCTGAAGTTAATTCACCAGGAAAAATTATTCCTGATTGAATCCTACTTCTCAAAAAAATCTCTCCTCCTTTGGTTCATTCCCAAAACCTGTTCTAGCTCTACTTTAAAACACATTTTCTACTTGTACTTAAAACAGCCCCGAAGCACAGGTGATGTTTCTCTGCCACCACAGTCGGGGTTTCCTGCTCTGCACAGTGCATTCCCGGCAGGCAGCTCTCGGCGGGACAAGTTGCTGGGAGGATTTTAACTCGATGTCAACATCCGTCCGTGCTTCAGGGCTCAGCGTCCCGATCTCGCCCGCTCCCAGCGGCCGGGAGCAGCGAGATAACAGATGCGTGAGGAAACGAGATGAACACAACGACCTCACAGGACGGCGGGGACACCAGGCGTGCACCGCGCTGCTCCTGGCACCATCCCGCCCAGTCAGTCCCAAATGAGAGCATCGCGGCAAAAGGGAAGATTCGGCAGCGGAGAGGCACCAAAGCGGGAACAGGCAGGACACAGCGGGGATGGAGCCGCGGTGAGCGCGGGGTGACAGCGGTGACAGCGGGGAGCGGCGCGGGGTGCCGAAGGTGGCATGAGGGATGCGGGCACGGGATGCCGGTACTGGCGGGATGCGGGATGCCGGCGGGAAGCACAGCGCAGGGCGCGCTTGCCGGTGGACTGCGGGACTCGGGTACTCACCGGAGGTCGCCGTAAGCGCCGGGGTAGCCCTCGACCCAGGGCTCCAGCTCGCTCTTGATGCCGGGAGCGGGGGCGGCGAAAGGCGCCCGGCCCGGTAGGTACCAGGCATCGGCAGGGCAGTCGGCGGGCCCGGCGGGCGGCTCGGGGCACGGCCCGTAGAGCTGCCCCTCCTCGGCGAAGAAGGTGGGCCAGGGGGGCGCGGGGCCCGGCGGGACCAGCTCGGCCCCGAAGCGGCACGGGCCGCCCCAGCCTCGCGGGCGGGCGGGCGCGGGGCGCGGGGCGGCCCGGCGGGCACGGCGAACATGCAGTCCTCGCGGGGCAGCTGCTCGGCCGGAGCCTCCAGCGCCTCCAGCGCCAGCCCCATGGAGGCGGACACGGCGCGGCACAGCTGCCGGGCGCTGTCGCCCAGCGGATCTTCCTTGTCCACCGGCTCGCTCTCGGGCGGCGGCAGCATCGGAATCGCACCCGCCTCGCCCAGCAGCTCCCTCAGCTCTCCGGAGCAGGGGAAGGACGAGCCCATGGCGGGGCCGGCGGCCGGCAGCGCCTTGCCGGCGGCGCGGGGCTCGGGGGGCGGCAGGCAGCCCGGCGGGGGCGGCCCTCTCGCGGCGGCTGGAAAGCGTCGCAGACGCTCTGGAAGAAGCTCTGAAAAGCCCCGCGGAAGGTCCTGCCCGCCGGCCGCGGGTAGACGCGACCGACCCCCAGCTGCACCTCCATGCTGGGCGAGCGCGGGGCAGCGACCGCTGCGGCGGCGGAGCGAGGCGAGGCGAGGCGAGGAGAGGGCGGAGAGCCTTGGCAGCGCTCCCGGCCCGACCCCCGCGGGCCGCCTACCCGCGGCGCTGCTCGGCGGTGCCCATGGCAGTGCCCGCCGGGCTGGCAGCTCGGAGCGCGCAACAGGCAGCGAAAGTTGTCGGCGGGGGCGCGGGCAGGTGCGGCGGCGGAGCCAGGGGCGGGCGGGGGCGGCCGCGGGGAGGGAGGCGCGGCGGGGAGACCGCCCCGCGCCGGGGCTCCGCCGCGGTTAACTCTGTGCCGGCCGCGCTGGAGAGCCCCGGGCTGCGCTCAGCCCCTGGAGCAGCGCGGGCGCGGAGCCGCAGCCCCGCCGCAGTGTCCGGGCCTGGCGCCTCAGCGGGCGGGTGGGAGCTGGGTGAGCCCGCCCGGCCCGGCACGGCTCGGCCCGCTGGGACATCGCCCGTCACCGCGGCCCCGGGAGAGAGCGGCGGGGCTGCCCCGGTTCCCCCCGGCCGCGGTGCTGATGGAGCGGAGCGTGCGGGCCGCCCGCCCCGGGCCGGCTCGGCTGCTCCCCCGCTCTCCCCCCGGCTGACAGCTGGCGCAGCTGGGCGGACTTGGTCAGAAGAATGCTCCTTTTCACGCTGGCTTAGCAGCTCCCCGCCCTCGGCCGGGCCCGAGGCGACCCCCGCAGCTCTTGGTTCCCGAGGACCGCCCGCTTCCACCTCTCGCTGCCCCGCGTCGTGCCACAGCCCCCGCCTGCCAAAGCACGAACCATCCCGTGGGCATCCCCGCCCGGGTCACGCACCGGGATGAAAAACACCTCGCTAGCAGAGAGAATTAGTGCGGGACCTACCGTAAACAAGGCTTGAGCTCCCCTTGCTGGTCCTGGAATAGCAATCCTAAAGCAACTTCTGGGAAACACCATCCCCAGGCAACCTGGGAACGGAAAAATTTTCATTCGAGGGAGCATAAAACAAGCCCGTTACTTTGAGCCCCTTTGAAGACAAAGGGAAAAAAGTCATAAATAAGCGGAGCCCGTGGGGAAAAAAGAGAGAGATATCCCATCTTTTAAAAGCTTTTTTACAAGCTGTAGAAGATAAAAATAAAAATCGAAGTCCAGCCAAGGAAAATTTGGCAATGGTCTCCATCCTGCCTGCGGGATCGGAGCAGCTGGGGGAGGGGGAGGAGGGCTGGTGTGCCAGGGGACGGGGTCACTGCCTTGGCTGCTGCAGCCTGGCACGGCTGGGGCAGGGGCTGCCACCCCCCGGGACTGTGCCCAGTTCTCCCCGGCCCCCAGTGAGGAAGAAGAAACCAGTGAGGTTTCTTTGCAGAGAAACCTCATCAGCTCTCGCGTGTGGGTGAAACACCAGGCTGGGCTCTGATGCCGAGTCCCACAGCCCCTAAAGCACAGCTCAGCTAACGCCTGGGATGGTCAAACCAAGGGAGGTGCAGGAAGATATCTGCTGCCCAGTGGATGTGGGTTCCAGTGTGGTTGTTGTTCCAGCCTCTCAGAGCTGACAGGCTCCTGGAGTGAAATACACAGACTGTGGAAAACATCTAGAGGAGGATTCTCACTGTCAGCCTCAAGAGCTGCACTGAGAAGGGCAAAGGGCTGGGGCTGCAGCGTGGTATCACTGCAGGAACAAGGGTCTCTATGCCTCAAACCAGACATGGGTTGTGACCAGAGAGCTTTGCTTGACTCCACTGCTCCCACAAGGAGGAAACATCCTCAGCTTGTACACCCTGGAACACCACAGCCTGCAAAGAACTCATCACAGTTCAGGCTTTTGGTGTTCAAACAACCATCCTGTCTGGGATGGGACCTGTTGGGGCCTCAGCTCCCAGCTCTGGAGTTTGCTGTTTGTGTTGCCTTGCCCTTTCCCTCTCTGCAGCATCCACAGGGCCCTGGTTTTTCCCTCATCTCAATCTGGGGCCTCAGCTCCCAGCTCTGGAGCTTTGGCTTTGTTGCTGTTCGTGTTGCCTTGCCCTTTTCCCTCTCTGCAGCATCCACAGGGCCCTGGTTTTTCCCTCATCTCAATATTGCTTGTGGGGTTTTTGGAATGTTGATCACTGCAGAGGTGCAGAAAGTGAGACTGCAATATGGTTTGTGTACTTCAGCCTGCAGAGCCAACACTTCAGTTCTGACTGATGATCTGTGGTAAAGATGTTTTTAATTTATTTCTTGAACAGGCATCTTCCAAGGTTGTTTTTTTTTTTTTAACTTGGTCCTCACGTTTCATTTAAAACTGATGAAATGTTAGTGGATTTTCTGGCTGCATATGTGCACGACTGCATATGCTAGGCTTAAAGGCTCTGTGAATTTTAATCTTTATACTTGGTTGCTGAAGTCATCACACAGTGTTCTAGAGATGTCCTTTTCTCAGCTTGAATTTGATACAGACTTCAATTATACTTTCCCATTCTCCCAGCAACACATATTCAGGTAATTTATATCTGTAAATGGTTATTAAAGTGTGAATTTAACATCCCATACAGGTATTTATAGGACTTTCTGCACAGGCTGAGGTCTGAGCCTTGTATGTCACCAACAGTTTGGTCTTTGAGTTCAAAGTCTATCTAAATGCACAAGGAGTTAAAAAAGTTGAAGATGATGGACTCGAGTGTGTGTCATAGAACAGGAACTTTGTCTGGCCTCGTCGAAAGCAGAGTGAGCTCCAGTTTGGGCAGGGGGAGATGCTGAGGAAACCTAATCCAGCAAAACACTTCCACACATCTTCTTCTTGAAGAGTATAAATAGTCCCACTGAAATCTAGGAAATACTCCTGTGCTTAAGGTTAAGGATTCCCTTAAGTGCTTTGCTGGATCAGTACCAAGGTGATTATTTACAAAGCGCTGTCAAAAACATTGGACACCATGAAAAACTTTTTCTGATAAAATCCTTTGGCTCAGAATGTCCTGTGTGACTGCTCAGAACTGCAGCAAACAACATTTTTCAGAGATAGGGGCCATTCCATGAAAAAATTTCCCTCTAGACCCAAGAGTAACAGGTGGTCCTTGGTTTTGTTGCCTGAAAAAACATTTAAAACCAGAATCTCTAAGAACTCAAATCTACAGCCACAGAGAGCTCGAATGTTATCAGGACAGTTCCACAGAACTTGCCAGGAACAGAATCAATCATTTTTCACCATTAATCTTTAGGAAAATGAGGCCAGTAACACAGAGTCTGACAGTTTTGCTTCCATTCCTTGAAGCCAGTTGCAGGCATAACCCATTAGCCATGGCTTACTGAATGACTCTGATCACACTCCTCCTTTTGTACCATCCCAGCTGTGAGGAGATGCCAACAGCTGTGAACCTGTCTCTGAGCCTGCCCTGCCAACATCCCCTAAATGGTGAACTCATGAGGTTTTTTCCAGCTGCATAAGAAAAAAGAGGAATCGTTTCTGTGGAGCATTGAGAATGATGGCAGAGACTCAGAAAGAGTCACAAGCACAAGTGCTGTATCCCACTCCCCACCAGGGCAGAGGCAGCTGGATGAGCCAGAGGCACTTTGAGCCTCAGTGCTGCCTGTGCAGGCTGGGACAAGCCTCTGCTCTCACCTAATTGCCACTTGGCAAGGAAGGCACGGTGATTTAGGGGAAAGCAGCGTGCAGCAGGCGAGGGAGACTGGCTCGTGCTCTCCTGGATGCTGTGGCCAGGGTGGGAGCCCATTCGGGCTGGGGGAGCAGCCAGGCCAGCCTTTCCACCACCCACACCGGTGGACAGCAACCAGGCATGAGCTTGTAGAATAGCAGGCTCATTAATGCTGCCTCCCACAGCTTTTACTCATTATTCGTGCACTCTATTATTCTTAAGCTGCCCAGAGCTACACAATAATACAGTTTTCTTAAGATTTTAAATATTTTAGCCATTTGTGTCAATCCTGGACTGCTGACTGCCTTGTCTCATCAGACAGGTATGTGAGTTCACATGGGTGGGTTAAGAGTCTTTAAAATCTGCCCTTGCAGGAAGGTGCAGACAATGTTTTCACTTTCATCTATTTTAATTCTGAACATTAATAATGTCTCACATCTCTCGTAGCGTGCACCTTTCTGATTTCGTGCACAGAAATTCTTAACTCTTAACTCTTCCTTGCATCTCTCCTTAGTGGCCAACACTGGTGCTGCTTTTACCCAGGAAAGCCCAAAGCTCCGGTGCCCCTGGAGCAGCAATCATCTGTCCCTCACTGCTGCCCTCAGCGAGTTTTGATCAAGCATTTGGGACAGATCAGTGAGAGGATCCTGCTGTGCTGTGCTCATGTCACCCTGCGAGCCTTCTCTCAGCAAGGGGGGGGTCCATTGAGCATTGTCACCTCTCAAAATCTGGGAGAAGAGTTTGACAAAGACCTGGCTCGCAGCAGGACTCCCTGGCTGGACCCTGCCCAGGGGTGCCATCAGCCCAGCAGCATCAGAGGGAGACAAACCTGCACAGTGCCTCTCAAATGCCTTTGTCTGCACCTTGGGACAAATCCTGCTTTAAATACAGGGCTAAGTGATGTCTTAGGTAATACTCCTGGAACAGTTACAATCACCTGGAGTGTTATTCTTCTCTTTGCCCAAATTCATCCCTGTCACCTCCACAGAATCACTAGCATGTTTTCCTTCTCTAACAGCTTGGAGGCCCATTTTCAGAACAGCCTGTTCATGCACCTTAGTGAGATGGCTGAAGTGCTTGGTCCGGTTGATCAATCCTTGCAGTGATGAGAACAACACAAATCTCCACTCCTAATGAAACACACATTTGAACCGTTTCCCATGTCTTACACAATTGCCTTTTGGGCAGAGTTTGGAGTTTCTCAGGAGCCAGGGAGGTGATACACAAGTTTGTGACGAGTTCCAGAATGAAATCTGGTCCAAGGCAACAACACTGGCAGATCCATTTTCCCAGCCTGCAGCTGGGAGCAGACTGGGATAAGCCCACTTCCATTGCTCAGCAGGGATGCCCACCCAGAGTGAGATGCCAGAGGCTGGTGAAGGTTCAGTGGCCTC